ATGAAGTTGTTAATTCAATAGCAGATTATACGTATATATTATAAATTACACTAACTGTATCTCGGCAAATTTTGAAGGAGAACAAAAAAAAACTAAACATCACCTGCTTGATCACCTGCTTCTCGTTTTTGGGAGGCATGGATTTGTCCTTGCGATGTTCATTTATGTAATCGGCTATAACATTCCACCTATCGACAGTTCCAGCAGGGTATGTATTAGAAGCCTGAGAAAACTAATTCATTTCAACAGCCTATTGAAAAAATTGCCAAAATCAAGATCAGAATATATCAAATAATTAGATGTACTAAAACAGTCACGCAGAACAGAAAACATTAAATTTGCCCCTCTCACCTTTACTAACAGTTGTATCTCGTCACTAGTCCACAACACTGTGGTTTTCTCCGCATCCTTATGTTTATCCCCCACTTTGGCATTACTTTTCGTTTCAGCATCATTATTCCTAGCAGCCTGCAAATAACAAAGTACTTGTGATAGAACAGGAGAGAAATAAGAATACCTCTGCTTCTGATATTGCTGCTAAAATTTCTTCGCGAACTGTTAATTTCTCGATAGAATCACAGAGTGCTGACATAGCATCAACAGGTAAAGATAAACAGAGCTAAAAAGTAAATACCTAGGCAATTATAGTCATTAAAAAACAGTATTACCCTTTCCACTCGTTCCATCTCCGCAAGTTTCTTTCTGGGATCATCGGTCCAGTGACCGGCTGATTCAGCCAATTTCTTGAAGCGACGTCGTTGTGCAGCAGCTGCCTTTTTCGCTGCTTCTTTCTCTTTTCTTTCTCTTTCCTGAGAAGCATTAATTTCGTAACAGAAATCAACAAATCTGGCTAACTTTATGTTTTATTTTACCCTTTCTTCTTTCGCAAGTCTTTCTTGTTCCTCTTTGGCTTTGAGTTCTGCTTCTTCCCTAGCTTTTCTTTCTCGTTCAGCTGCTTCTGCTTTCTCCCGCATCCTTCTCTGCTTCTCCTCTTTGGCTTTATTTTTCATCTGAAAGTAATAATTAGTGGTCTTAACACCTTCTACTTTATACTATACCTCTTGATCCTCCCGTTTAAATTTCGCAATTCGTGGATCTTTAGAGTAGGCTAATTCTACTAGTCGCCGTATTCTTTTTGCTTCATCTTTCCTTCGTCTTTCCCTTTCGGCCTTGAAGTAAAGAAACATTCGTATACAAAAACTTCAACATGGCACAACAATAGCATGCTAAGACTGAATGAAGCAGTAAGAAAA